GGGGGGGGGGGAGGGGTGGTTTTGGGGGGGGGTCGGGGTGGGGGGCACTAATAGGTGGATTGAGCTGGTTGGGGGATTTTGGTGGAAAAGCTGGCTGGTGGGTGGTCACAGCGTGGATGGCAGGGTGTGTATGGTGACTTGAAGGCGTTGTAGCGACACTTGAGAAAATAATATGTACTGAATTTTTTAGATGTTTTAGGAGTAAGTGTGGGGGCTTAAGAAAACGAAAATAAGCTATTTTGTGAATCCATCGTGTTGGTGTTGGCCGTGTGTGTTGTGTTTAGTGTGTTGGAGGACTGGCAGGAATGGCTGCGAAATCACTATGTGGATGGAGTGAGAACAGTTAAGTGGTGAGAAGGCATTCAAATCAAGAAAATAAGATAGATATTCTAGGAGAATGATATTCATTTGAGTGAAACAAGATATCACATGGAGGATGATCAGAGGATTTGACAGGTGTAGTAGCCGCAATTGGGAGATGTAGTAACCCAGGTTTTCTGATCAAGAACGACGGTGTGATCAGATGTAGTCTGGACGTGTGTAACGGTACCTTGTACTATATGGTCTCTACGAATTGAACGAACACCTGGTTTAAGTACCGGGCTCTTCACTTCGAAAGGCACAAGACCATATGACTGCAATTCGATCTCTGGTCAGTGATCCCCAGATACTACTAGCGAATGAATACGGTCAGCTCGCTTGAAAATGTTAACTTTCATGGACATTTCACCATATCACTCACCGTATCACTCAACGCCATGATGTGTTGAGCTCAAGATGATTCATACGCCAACTAGCAGCATTTATTTGCAACCATTGATCGTAGATACCCAATCTAGTCTTCGGCACTTTAAGTTACCAAAATTGCCAAACCACTTCATCCAACAACCGCCCTAACTCCCAACAACGGGACTCATAAAAGCTTAAAGAATTATCCTCTAACCTCTAGCCTCACACCACCTGATACTAGGTTCACCCACTCAGGCACCGCCATTGTGCCACGAAACTTAATTCCCCTCCGCATATGCGACCGTGCCTTAAACTCGAAAACATCAACCACTAAAAGCTTTCTATAAGCTTCCAAGGGTTACCGTTTCGGACATAAATCCGATGATTAGTGAGAATACTGCAGCTCGCGCAGAGACGACGCAGCTTGCTGCAGAAGAAGAGCAAAGATATTGTGGCTTCCAGGGAATTTTCCGAGAAATCGAAAGATTCAGAAGCGTGGCTGAATAAGCCGGAGAAAAATATGCCAAGTTTTACCCTCGTGTTGCTGCTCATATCCAGGCTCACCTAAATGTGGAAAATGTGCCGCTGCATGATGACAAATCTTGCTGCAGCTCCACAGTGCGGACTATGGATTTTCCGAAGTATATAAGCATGGCGTTTCTGCCCATTGCCCTCCCACAACACCAAAAATGGTTGCCCCTAAAACTTCCAAAGCATTGAAAGACACCAAGCTCTTTGAGCCCATCAAGGTCGGCAGAAACGAGTTCTCTAACAGAGTTGTTTTTGCTCCATCGACCAGATTCAGAGCCTTGGAGGACAATACCCCCTCTGATCTTCAATTGGACTACTACGATGACAGAACCAAGTTTCCTGGAACCTTGATCATCACGGAAGGTACCGTGCCAACTACCAAAACAGGCACCTACCCACACGTTCCAGGTATCTTCACTGAAGACCACGTTAAAGGCTGGAAGAAGATCAACGACAAGATCCACGAAAACAAGTCGTTTTCCTCCATTCAGCTCTGGGGCTTGGGCCGTGCCGGCGACCCTGCTCAGGGTATAAAGGAGGGACAAAAATACAAGGCTCCTTCTGCGATTTACCAGGATGCCGATGCTGAAAAGGCTGCAAAAGAAGCAGGCAACGAATTGGAGCCTTACACCACGGAGGAAGTGGACGAGTTGATCGAGGAGTACGTCAAGACGGCCAGAAGATCCGTTGACGCTGGTTTCGACTATGTGGAGCTTCACGGAGCCCACGGTTACCTCATCAACCAGTTCCTCGAGGCCTCTTCCAACCAGAGAACCGATAAGTACGGTGGTTCCATCGAAAACAGAGCCAGATTCGCTTTGACGCTTGTGGACCGTCTTTCGGAGGAAATCGGCGCCGACAGGTTGGCCATTAGAATTTCGCCATGGGCTAAGTTCTTGGGTATGAAGAGTGAGGAGGACAAGGAAGCTCATCCAATTGCCACCTACGCCTACTTGTTGGGTCAATTGCAGCAGAGAGCCGATGCAGGCAAGGAGCTTGCTTATGTGTCCATTGTGGAGCCCAGAGTCGCCGGAAACCTTGATGTCAATGCCGAGGATGTGGTTGGAGACAACGGTTTCATCAAGATCATCTGGAAGGGCATTCTCCTCAGAGCTGGTAACTACACCTACGACGCTCCAGAGTTCAAGCAGCTTTTGGACGATCTCGATGATGGTCGTACGTTGGTTGGTTTCTCCAGATACTTCATTTCCAACCCTGATCTTGTGAAGAGACTCCACGATGGTGAGGAGTTGACTCCTTACGATAGGGACAGTTTCTACCGCCACGACAACTGGGGCTACAACACGTACCCTCACGTGGACGGCAAGGAGAAGTTTGACGAGGAGGCCGAAAAGGCCCGCAAGCCTGCCCCAATCAAGGCCTAGGCTAGAGTATGAATAGACGAATATATTGAATAGAGATGAGATTTGATTTTGATTATATGGTAGAGAAGGGGGATATGCTTATGGTGGTAGTAGTTGCTAGGAAGTCGATACATAGAGCGTGAAAAAGCTCACGATTTGGTAATTGCCTGGGGTATATGCTTAGTCGTAGGGACTAGTGAACAGAGACTATGGGGAACAGTGGGGTGTTGATGAATCGGGTGAAATTGGAGAGAAGTGGGCTTTTAAGAATGAGATTGAGGGTGCAGAAGAGAGGACTTTCCAGTTGTCGAAATGGAGCTTTTAGTTCGAAACTTTGTGTCGTAAAGAGCCGTCACTAATGCACATTAGACTTAGCCTTCCTTTGGTGCAATAATGCGGATGATTCAACTACACCTTTATAAGCCCACTACCCATCCCTTGGCTCAGTACCAAGCCGCAAAAGCCCGAAATCACCCCAAAAACCCAACCCTTAACCAACCTCATCAACAACTTGCACCCCGGATTATCTTGCTGCACCCGGTCGCAAATCTACCCAGGCGACATTTCGCCGCATTGTCCACAGCGATGCATTCCACAGAAACGTCTCAATGTGCATTCGCTAAATTAGACTGTGCATCTGCAGCCACAGAAGTGACTTGACACATTCCAATCAAATGATCGACAGCTCTTCAGCCTCGTCAAGGGCCCTGTTGTGCACATTCTGGGGTTTTTAGGAAAGTGGCCTCGGGGCAATGTCGGATCTTTGCCGGCGTGCTTCCTCGCCGATCCGGCCAACTATAATATAAACCTTAAAGCAACTGCGCCGCTATCCCCTTACCAATGCAACTACACCTTTACTTTTTGGCTCTTTTGGTAGCAGGACTAGCACGTGCGTTGGTAATACCAAACACGTTGTCTGCTTCGGAAATTAGCTATGTTCAGGGTGATCCCAAGGTGACCCACCGAGTGGACCTCGGAATAGCCAAGGGATTATCGTACTATGGGCACATCACCATTGCACTTTTTGGCGAGGAGGCTCCCAAGACGGTGGAAAACTTCATGGCATTGGCCAACATGACCAAGGGGTACTGCTACAAAAACGTCAAGTTCCACCGGATAGTCAAGGACTTTGTGGTTCAGGGAGGAGATTTCGAAAAAGGAGACGGCACAGGCGGCTACTCCATCTACGGAAAGAAGTTCCCAGACGAAACGTTTGCAATTCCACATAACAAGAAAGGACGTCTCCTGATGGCCAATCTGGGTCCAAATACTAACGGAGCTCAGTTCTTCATAACCACCACACAAGACTGTCTGTGGCTCAATGGCAAGCATGTTGTTTTTGGCCAGCTTGTAGGAGGCCACGAGATTATTGAAGAGATGAACAATGTGACTCTTGATGAAAACGGCAAACCTACAGTGAACTACTTCATCACGGCAGGACAGAGCACGAAGATCGACACGAAAAACCAAAAGCTGTATGAGCAGTTGAAGAAGGACGAGGAGATCTACCAGGCTGCTCTTCGTGGAGAAACCACCTTGATCAATGACCAGGTGCACCCTGTGGAGACCTTGCAGGAGGATAACATGGGAGGGTATATCTTTTTGGGTGCTTTTTGTTTGATTGTGTTGCTTGCGTGGAGGATGACCAAGAAGGTCAGGCGGAACATGGGCGTGAAGTTCAAGGGGTGATGGAGAAGAAGTGGTATTTGAGTTGATGTTAGGAGAGTCAATTGCGGAAGTAACAATAAAAAGGCTTTCAGGAGGGGTTGCTGTAGTTGAATTGGTAGTAGTCAATCTGGTTTGAGGAACTGGGTAGGCATTGGCTTGTTGGCTGATGTAGAATCAATAGGTGGTCCTCAGGTTCATTGATAGTACCAGGGGTTCATGTAGTTTGACCAATGGCAGGTTTCCTTCAAAAAGTCATCATCCAGATGTTTTGAGCAGAAATACTATGATTCTTGCATCTTTGCTAATTGTATAAAATCACCTTGCTTAGGGCACCCCATCTCATCCACCCACCTGATACACAGTCTGATTTCGCAGCCATAACATCAACACTTTTCCTGAACAACTCCCATCCAAAAACCACACAGCCCGTGTTTTCCAGCCAATCAGAGCCCTCCATTTAAACACAACTCCCCGCAATGGACCTACCGATCGTGCTCGTCAAAAACCTCCCCTACGATGCCTCATCGTCACTGCTTCTTGACCTTTTCAGCAAATACGGTCCAGTCAACCAGCTACGAATTTCCGATGGATCCGCTCCCGCAGGCACGTGTTACGTGGTGTACACGGAAATGGACGACGCTAAGAAAGCCGCTAGGGAGCTCAGTGGTATAAATTTCATGAACAGGTATCTTGTACTGGGTCTTTTCAAGGCAGATAAAGATGTGCTTAACGAAGCGATACTAGAGCAGCGTCGAGAGGCACTTGAGGCGCCAGAGGAGGAGGATGGTGATGTGGTGAATGAGGAAAATGGTGAAGAAAAGTCTACTGAGGCGAAGACGGAGGAAAAGACGAATGGGAAGTAATTGAGTATCAGTATACGGATCTTGGTGTCTGAGAGTTTTAATGAACGAGTTTTTGAGGGATTGGTGTTTGCTCCTTTACCAAGGCAATTATAGTATCAGCTGAGACGAGATAATGCTATCACGACATCTGGAGTATAACCCTGTCCTGGTGTCAGTGCATCTGTCATAGTGTCAGTATATCGGTCATGGTAATTTCCCTCCCTACAAATCCTTAACGCTATATCTATTTTTGGTGGGCGGAGCCCAGTGACTTAAATAGGAATCATTTCGTGGAAAGATCCAAGAGACCCAACGTGTAGTAGGCGGTCAAACCAGCGAAAATCAAAGCAGCAATGCGGCCCACCTTGGTCCAGTACGCCTTAGGCGTGTATCTGTACTTGACGTAGCCTGTGAGCTGGCCCAAGTCGTCGTACAAGTTCTCGAACGTGGCCGACACCTTCACGTGGCCCAGAGAGAAATCAAGGTAGCTCTTCTCGTCGTCGACTGTGAGCTCGAGAGGCACCAAAGGAGCGCTGAAGTTGAGGAACTCGGCACCCTCGGGCAAGTACAAGTTCAACGTCACGTCATCGTAGTAGATGTCCTGGACGGTGTTCAAGAGCGGAACAGCAGCAATGTAAGTGTCTGGCTCATCCTTCACCTTGTGCACAAAGTTCTCGAGCTTGTTGGTCCAGCCGATAGTGAAGTTGTAGTTCCAGCCACCGAAAAGTGGGTAACGAGGCACCACAATGAGGTGGCCGTTCTTGATCTGGTGGGTCGACACCATACCAACCTTGTCGGTGATGTAGTAGTTCTCGTAAGGCATCTTCTCGTGCATTGGGAACTCCAATTGAGCAAGAGCAAAGTGCTTACGCAAGATCTCGTAACGGCCCTTCATCCAGTCGACTCTGGAGAAACCATCCTTCAACTCGGCACCGTTGTTGGTAAGCTCGTAGTACTCCTCGTTCTGGATCACGTCCACGTCAGAGGCGGGGAACCACACGCTTCTCTCGAGGTTGATGACACGCTGCACGGGCATGTTGTGGTCGTACAAGAAGCCCATGGGCACCATGGTAAATGGCTTGATGTGGGCAGTCACTGGACCGTACACCAAGAGGTTCTCCTCGACCTTGCCCTTCAATTCAGGCACATCGGCGGTCGGCGTGACGTTGGCCAACTGCAAGTCCATTTCCTGGCCCTTGGTGATACCAGTGAAGGCCAAAGAGTACTCCTCGGTAGGGTAGCCAGAAAGAGGGAACTTGTTCATCTTGAGCAACAACTTCTGTTTCTCGTCCAACTTGATTTTCTCGGGGAAAGCCGTCAACGTGTTGGTGTACGTGTAACGGACCTTGAATTCCACCGAGTTGCCGGGAGCCACTGGGTAAGGGAACTTGAACATGTAAACACCGTTATCGAGTTCAAAAGGCTGGATCTCCAGGGCAGGCTCGGTGAGCGTGACGCCGAGGAAAGACACGTGGGGGATCGCGTTGAAACCGTCATTCACCACGTACACGTAAGAATCCAATGGTTTGTCGCCGATGTTGGTGGCTTCAATAAGAGCCCATTCTTTGACATATGACTTGGCAAGGTCAATGTTTCTGTAGTATTTTGAGTTTTCCCAAGTTGTCTCGGCGAAAGGGTTCAAAGCGGTACACAATGACGCGAAAAACGCCGTGTACACGAAAGACAGCCAGAGCATGGTGGGTTGTAGTTGAGCTTGGTGATAATTTTGACACTTGGTGTGTTCTGTATGCAGGGGCCACCAATTGACAAGACCCCGTTTGGCCCTGAGTCCAAGCGATTTACGGGATTTTGGGAAATGATTCGAAACATTCTTTGCTGATTGTCTGGAAGTAAGTTTTTTTCTATAATCCTTGTTGGTGGCGTTGGTGAGGAGTGGTAAGTGGTTGCAAAACGCGGTGCGGCCATAGTTAAGGTAGGGTGGAGGCAAAAGCGGTGATATCGAATCGGTTCTTTTTAGGTGGAATTGCGTAAATCGTGAACTTCGTATGATAATGTGTTGCTTTTCAGATTTGAAGTTCGAAGGTTGGACTGTCAATTGAGCTCCAGCTCGTCTTGTTCTAAAGGCTCACAAGCGTGGAGGTGAAAGGACCACATAATGAAGTGAAGACCACAGGAGGCTTCTTTGTTGGAAAAAGATTCCTCATTGCATTGTATGGTTCTTGATTATAATGATGTATCGTGCATCTTCAAGCTACAAGTGCACTTCATTTGACGCTCCAGCTGTGCTTACCTAGTACCTGAATGTTCTAGGATGATAACGCTAAAACCCATTCTTCATGGACTCACAGGTATCTCTCTTGCATACGATTCTTATAGAAAACTAGTGTAGATTCTCCATGAATCAATCAAAATGCCTGACCAGTGTTGTATCTTCATGGATCGGTAAGGTAGACACCCCATGCACTATAGTGGACCAAATTCTCTTCTGAAAGTGATTCATCAAATGACACATAATGGCTAACGACACATACCCTTCTCCTCCTTTATTTCCCTCAAAGTTATATCTCTATAAGTAGTGTGCCTATTCCACACTGTCACCTCGTTCTCATTTTTGCAGCCATTTCAGTGAACCACCATCAACAGCCCCACAACAAGCACTAGAGCCTCTTTAAAAGAAGATTTCCCATAATACCATCCGTTATGTCCCACTCCACATGAATAATACGTCAATTGCCCCCGCCACTTGGTTTGTGCCACCCCTCAGACTATAAAAGGAGACTCGCTCCCACTTTTTCTCACCAAAACCACCCACTTTTCTTTCTGTACAATTCCACCCACACAACCAGCTTTCGATGCTACCGACTCAAGAGAGTTTCTCTGGCTAAGTAGCCTCGAAACATAGCCGATTTCGTTGTTATGGAGCTTTTTGTGAAGGTGGCGTTGTCTTAGGGTCAAGCGTGGTTGGGCGTCTCAGACGTCTCGAACTGGTACAAAGGGTGCCACGTCTCTTATTCTCTTGGCCACGGGTGGCCAGACAATCTGAGTCCGATGCCCTTTGCCTCCAGTTCAGTGTGTAAGCTCCATCCTTCTACGGGTTTCTACGGGTCGGTTCCTCAAAATTTGATGATCACACTTTTTGCGGTTTCCGTGGTGGCAAGGTTGGTGTGGGGTATGCCAAAGACACGGTAGCGCTACGTGTCCCTAACTGCCCTTGAGCTCCGCCAATCGAACCTCCGCCTGTGGACGTCTGGACAAGGTAGAGCTTACGCATGGTCTTCTGTCAATCTCCCAGGAATCCCTCCACTGATTCGCATCCTAAGTTGTGGTGTCGTGCAACGATGGATTAGACTGTCATGACACACTGGTGGATACCTCGGGCTTAATTGTCTGGGATGACCCGGATTGCCTCCGTTTCAGGGCTTGACGGGTAAGCCTCTTTGGTCTTGAAGCATTAACTCTTTTTCTCTCAGGGCTGTCAGCCAGTTCCTGCTCTGTTGGTTTCCCCCACGTTGGAGTTATCATGCCGCGTGGGTAGTGTTGCAAATGATTATCTTTGGTGGATCGGAGTTTGCAGTCGGCTCTTTGTTTTGAACGTTGAAACAGCATCCACTGGCTGTTTTGGTCAGAGAAATCTGATTTTCTTTTTCTCGTGTGAAGAAGCACCAATTGAGGTGTGGAACGCGAACCCTCGGAAATGCCTGACCCGCATTTCTGTTTTTTGCCTTTGCTCCTCGGAAGTTGCATGGCGATCGGTGGGTGACATGCGTGGAAGCATCTGTGCGTGGAAGCTGGAAGCCTCCACCGAGGTCTACCCTCGGAACTCTGTGCAAATTCCGTTGGAGCCCCATGTCGGTTCTCTATCGTGGCCGACGTGTGGTACCGCTGACACGGTTTCTTTTTGTGGGGCAATGCAACTAGTACCCACACCATTAAAAAGAAAAACCCTCCGTGGTCTTTCTCCGGGTCAGGCGATCCGGTTTTTTTTTTTTTTTTTTTTTTTTTCTTTTTTCTTGTTTCTTTTTACTTTTTACTAATTATCTTAATATATCATTACCCCACCTCTTCTGCATGTCGCTGCTAATTCGTAGTCGTATTCAATCGCTATTTTGTGTTTCGCGTATCGTTACCTGCGTTATCGCCATGCACGGCCTGGACATAAATGTGTCAGTTGCAGCGTCGGGGTTAAGTTCAAGTTTCATAAATTGTCACTAGGCAGGCAAAAACTCAATCATGTCAAACTGAAAAGATCGGGATCATACAATCGAGCTATGGATACCCAGGGATCCATACAAATCAAACAAAAGACCCACGACAAATAACATTTCAAAACCAGATATTTCGCTCTAATTTTCATAGACTTCGATTGTGTCAAAGATCAATTTCATACATACGATCCCAAATCTGTTGGAATAAAGCGATTATCAGGAGGCACTCACAAAATATGGCAATGGCCCCACAATTCAAAAGCCGAGTCGATTCATTCCATTTGAAGCGCAAAAGGGCGTTTTAGAATGGCGTTTTAACCTAAAAGATTATTTCGACCTCTTTACCTTAATAATACCTTACATTTTCACTAACCCAAACAGTTCTCAGAATGTCATGGAAAGTTGATTCAGCTGAAAACCGCAAACTCGTCCTAAATGCGATGCGGCAGGCCAAGAGATAAAGAGCTCTTTTAAGGGCACAACTCAAGAAAAATGATACTACAGAATGGTCATGTAACGCCTAGTATTAAATTTACACCCGTATTCCAATAACGCTCTGCTGGAGTCAGAGAAACTCTCGAAATACCCGATGGTTTAAATGCAACGAATTTGAAAAAACTGGGTATAATATTGCCTGGAATCGTCAACCCTGTCATTTCTCCTATATCTTCCTCAGTCTATAGATTGGAAGTGCTGAAGGTCATAGGGTTTGGCCAATTGGATTACGTCAAGCAAAATGATAATACAATAAACCAAATCGTCATTTACCGCCTGGAGTCTTTAAACCTATATTCTCCATATTAACGCTTTCCAATAAAGTATAATGGTAGTGTTTTAAGTCATTTATTGCCAGAT